TTCATTTTTCCAATTCTAATAATAGAAAAAAAAGACACACACTATTTTACTTTATTCATCTTAAATATTAGGATAAATTATAATTTCTCTATAATCTTAGATATTAGGGAACATTATAATTTTACTATAAATAAAAAAATTGCAATTTCCCTGCAAAATGCAAGAAAATGAATGCCAAAAGTGCATGATCAAAAGATTAGAAGCAAAACAAATAAGAACTATTTAGTGCATTATTTTAATTATATAAAGTTAATTACACTCAGATTGTAATTTCAGTTTAAATTCTTCTTCTTTTATGTATTTTACACACAGATTTTAATAGTTGTCTTTCTTCTACAACATGTTTTTGTTACGTTTGTTACTATTGTTACTTACTTCGCCATGCATCCGAGACTTCAACTGTTCAATGTTCACTGCACGACTGCTGCTTACCGAAAGCCAAACGTCATTTTCAGTAGTGGACTTATTTGTAATTGGTTTGATGCTTTTTTCTATTCTGTTTTGACTCGTTATTTGTGAATAAATGCCTATTTTTATCAGATTTATATTCAGATTGTATTCCTATTCGTTCTTCTGTGACAAATACCACAATCAGCATTTCAAGCGAGATTTTCTCGTGATTGATCCCGCTGTGTCATCAATAATCACACTAGAATTTACGTTATAACGATGCTTAAAACTTTTTATATTCATTTTAAAAATATATATATAATAAAATTTCATGTATAATTAATAATCTTTTTGTTTTACAAGGATAAAAACTCACGAGAATTACTCTTACTTACATAATTGATTTTAATTGTGGAAAATATGATTATAAATTTTAAATAACTTTAAAAAAATAACAAAAATAATATTTATTTGCTTTTTTATATAAAAAAATAAATCTTTTAAAAATAATTTAAATTTAAAATGTAAAAACTCAATAAAATTTCATATTAATGTTTACATTACAATACCGAATTCTTAGCGATTTTCAATTTAAATGTTATTGCATCAGTAAATGACTAATATCAGAAATCAATTATTATCTACATATTAAATCTTTTGCAGTATTCTGCACGGAAATTGATATATCGATTACAATTTTATAATCGAAATTTATGGGTATCGTTTATATGCAAATTATTTAATGTAATTACTCATTATGTATTCTTCTCTTTTACATTATAAAAATTGCATACAACGTTTTTGTATTGTATTAATAATTCGTATAATTAAATAAAATCGATTGAATTTATATTAAGTTTTAAATCTTTAAAGTGTATTACTTCTATTCTCCTCTAAATATTTTGATTTAATTTGCTCTTGTAAATGTTGGATTGATTGAATAAGGCAAAGCAACACTTGAGACCTGCCAACTGTAGAGAATTTCTATAGGAAATTGACCCCTGTTTAGATGTTACACATGTGGAAAAACCAAATGTAATCATTATTTACTCCTATTAGTTATTTTTAATTTTAAATTTGCATTCATACTATTTATTTATTCATTCTTATCGCTACAGTAAAACTTCTGAACAATGGCCACTGACGTAACTATAAGAAATGGCCATTGTTTGCAGCCATTGTGGGAAATGGCCATTATAAGAGGTTTGACTGTATATAAAATATATATTTATAAACATTTTTGTATTCATTTATAGTATATATTATATCACATCGAATAAAATCGTATTTTTCAATATACAGTATTTCAGTGCTTAAAGTTAGGATGTTTCTTATACCTCAGTCAGTCTTCACCAGATTAACTATTCATGAACTTCAGGTATACACTGAAAAACATATTATTTTAATTCAAAATTTTTTCCCAGAACAGAGTTACATAGAAGACTCGCATGAATCTGTTGCCAACAGGAAAAGTATGATGTTCAAGAGGAAAAAATTCTAATGCTCGTTACACTTCTAAAGTGTATGTAATGAAAAATATATATTTTGTTTTCTGAGAATTATAATTAAAATTTTAATTTATGTATAATATATATATTTACTTCTAATAATTAGAATGATAACCAACTTTTCCTTGGAAATCTATTTTTATAAGTCAGAGTGAATATCCAATTATTGTTTCTTTCGATAAGTAAATTTTTTTTTTAAAGTCACTAAAAGATATTTATTTAATTGTATTTTCCTTTAAAAAAAGTGAATTATTATTTCAAAGATAAGAAAGAAGAACAATAAATGAGAAGACACTTTATCAGATTTTTATAAATGGACAAAATAGTTTAACTTTTAACTGAAACAAATTATGATGAGTCGTACTTTATTGCATTTCTCCAAGCCAAAAATATCTTAAATTCCGAAAATTCATTTTTTTAACTTAAAAAAAAAACATTCATTTTCTAAATGTAACTTTGCTATAAATGTTGAACATTTTTCAATTTTTATTATATATTTAAATTAATAAATTTCGTTATAAATAATTTAGATTTTATAATAAGTTCTACACTTATTATAAATTTTTATATTATAAACTTCAATATTTACTCTTTAATAAATTTAATTTAAAGAAAAATAAATCAAATACATATATATATTAGTTATTTTTAATTAATGTAATTAAACTTTAAACAAAGATTAAATTGTGGATAATTAAGATTTAAATGTGGAAAAACTTAAAATTTTATTGTTAAAATGTTTAAATTTTACTTTTAAATATTTTTTATTCGTTTTTTTTAAATGTTAAATCATAAAAATTTGATAGTTTTACTGTGCTTTAATCACTTTATAGCGTTGATTTTATGGAGTGTGTTGTGTGCTGCATTTCTGTCGTTAACACGTTATTAACTTTCTGTAAGGGGTCCAATTTCGTGTTTCAATATAACTTAGCTCAGATTAAGGCTCAGAGATTTGTTGGGGATCAAGAAAAATTGTTTCTTCTTGTATCTAGAAGCACTTCAATTTATTTTTTTTTTCTTCTTGTGACAGCTGTTTTAGAAGAAGAACAATGTAAAATAACAATAATATATAGAGGAAAGACAATATAAAGGATAATAATAATAACTATATATTTTCATAATTTAAATAATAATATAATTATATATTCAAAAAATGTTTTAACTAATTTATTTTAGATAAAATTATATAAATATAAATAATTCACGTAGGAATTAGTTCGATTAAATTAACCATGTAAATAAATACATATCTGACTTAAAAATTAAAGTAAAATAAATTAGATTTTAAATTCAAAATATATAATTTAATGTAAATAATTTTAAAATATTTCAGACATTTTTTTAAAAATTAAAACATTGATTATTATACACTTTAATTTACATGTTTTTTTAAGTAAATANGTACACCTATGTTCTGCTCACGGCACACTGGTTGAAAATCACTGTGTTAGATAACTTCATTTGACCTAATGTTTCTATCAATGGAAGAAAAAATAAAATAATATTTCATTTTTTCTCATTTTATACTCGACTAGAATTTTAATAATAAAAGGAAATTTTTGATCCGTGACTAACCCTATACAGATAACATGTTTTTTAGAATTATGATCATAAAGGAAACTACTTTTTGAATTGTGCGTGACGTATTTATTTGATTGAATTTGGATTATTGTTTATATGAGAATCATGCCTAACAATAGAACGATATTTGGAGATAATGTATTGTACAATACATAAAGCTTCAGTTCGTGTACCATATCTTATAGGTTAAATAAAAATTTAAATAATAGCATGAAATTATTTTTTTATTTTAAAAAAAAATTATATTTTAATGAGAAATTTAAGTAAAAATATATAAAGAACTGTTGGAAAACCATTAAAACTTTTGCAAAGTTTCTTTATAATTGCGCTTAAATATAATTGCCTATATATTTTTGCATTATAAAAAAATAAAATAAAATTTATATTTTGTTCTCTATGTACTTCTAAGCCCAAATTTTTCATAGAACCCTGCGGAAGATATAATCTACTATAAAACCTGGATACTCTACTTTTTCCTTATCTTGCCACTTTGTCATCTATAAAATTAATATTGTTCTGTAAATATTCTAGTATAAATTTTATAATTTTACTTAAAATTATAAATTTATAACATTAATATCATATAATTAATATTCAAAACAGAGATATTTGTAGGTTACATTTTTTTTGTAAGTATCATACACTTGTTCATTGTATTAAACTGAACAAGATTCTTTTTAAAGCTTCCTCACGAAGATGTTTTTTGTATATCGACTGATTTTTATTATATTAAGAATCTTTTTAATTTGACAGAAAAATGACATTCGATTAATCTATTAGAAAGATTTAATCTACATAATACTATTTATTTAATATAAACAGTTGAAAAATATTTCCTAATAAAAATGACTCAAATGTCAAACAATTTATCATATTTACGCTTGAAGAGATATAGTGTAACGAATGTTTTGTTTCTTTAATATTTAATAGAATATTATTTTAAATAATGAATCTTGAATATTTTGGAAATATTTGCTTGGTATTTTGAGGTGTCCGGGTTCGAATTCTAGGCCGTAACCTTAGAAGTTTTCGTAACTTGACCTTTACCTCATTAGCAATTTCTCCTTAAAGACTTGATCATAATTAGAATGTCCTTTTTAGTTCATGCAAGATAGGAAGATTTTAATGCATATTTTTAAGTTTTTATAATATATATACAAAGCACATAAACACAGAAACGTAAAAATTTGTGATTATGGTTTTTTTATTTTCTTATATGGTTCTTGATGTTACTCTCTATAGGGCCCACTAATTAGAGAATAAACTAAATAATATTTGGCGAGGTGCGAACCTGACTATCAGTGTTCAATGAATAAAACCACTGAAGACAGGTCGTGGGTTCGTGCCTCGCGAACGGACTGGACACATAGAGTTTCCGGATTTTCTTTACGTTAGTAACACCTAAATAGGACCAATTTCCCATAAAAGACTTCTCCTTATATGTCACTTTGCCATATACGAATAAAACTAAAACTAAACTGACTTTTGGTTCAAGTTAATAAAACTATCCTTCGTAATCATACAGATGTAAAAGGAACTAATAATTTTCTATATGATTATACAAATAATTAAATCAATAAATCACGAATTGTAGATAATAATTCTATTATTGCCTATCGAACTTCTATGAAAGGTCAAATATATTTTTGGAACAATATTCCATTAAATACATTCAAATAACACATTGTCGATCAATAATAAACACGCACAACTCATTTAATTTCGTCGCGATTAAGGGAATTTTTAATTTTAAATAACAGTTCCGTGAAATTGTTTAAATTCCAATAATTACAACGATTAGTAGTTTACTGTAATTTAAAGTAAGACAAATTATCTCTTAGCATTTTTTTACGATAAAATCCTGCAACTTTCCCGAGTTGATGATCCAACCATTGACAATCTCCATTGACAAAATTTATTATAGGTGTATACGTAATTTTTATCGTTATTAAACGGTTCTTTTAATACTTTTAAGAATAATTATTACGTAATTTTATCAACTGAAACTACAAAACCGGATATAAAGGTATATTAGCTAAGTTAAGAAGTTAGTAGCCTAAATGAAACATTTTAAAGAGAAAATAGGTACTACATTTATAGCTAATAAAATTACATGGCAAAATATAATAAAACAAGAAAGATCAATCTTTTAGCCTTAGGTAATTAACATCTTTCACTTCATCATTGACGATAATTTTGCGTCAAACTTGCACAATGCATCATATCAATAAGGTCGCCTGATGATCCTAAAAGTTTGGACTCTTCTGCTGATCGTTCCCTAGAGAATTTTCGAATGAACTCTCCAGTAATAAACTATCACCGATCTGCATTCATTATTCAACAAGAACCCAGTTGATTGTCGTTGGGAATTAGGGAATAAAACTGACGTCAATTTTTACATATTTCAAATCGTGACGAAACTTCGTTATGACGAAATGAACTGTCAACTTTCATACA